ATTGTCTAATTGTAGTGTTTAGATCTCTAGCCTCCTTGTTGAGTTTCTTTCCCTGTGATCTATCTTTCTCAGAGAGCGGTGTATTGAAGTCACCCACTATAATTGTTGAGGCAGTAATTTCTTTTTTCATCTTTTGGAGTGTTTGGTTGACGTATTCAGTGGGTCTCTCATTTGGAGAATATGTGTTTACAATGCTTAGTGGTTCTTTGTCTATGGTTCCCTTGAACATTATAGTGTCCTTCCTTATCTCTTTTTATGGTTTGCACTTTGAGGTAAATTTTATCTGAGATTAGGATTGCAACCCCTGCTTTTTTTGAATTGCTGTTTGCTTGGTATGCCTTTCTTGAGCCTTTGATTCTCAGCCTATTTTTGTCTATAGCATTGAGATGTGTCTCTTATAGGCAGCAGATTGATGGATTGATTGTGTTTTCTTAGCCAGTCTGCTAGCCTCAGTCTTTTAATGTCTGCGTTCAGGCCATTGATATTCAGGGTTATTATCTCCATCTGCAGACTCTGTGATGTCATCTTATACCCTCTGTGTTGGGTCTTTTCCTACCTACCTTTCTTATTAGTGTGTTGTGCATGTTTGTGTGTGTATCATTCTTGACTTGTTTCCATCCTTAAGCCAATGCTATCTTGGGGTCTGTTTTCTCTTTGTTGCCCTCTGGGTGAGGATGTTCTAAGTGGCGGTCTCTTATTTATGCTGGTGAGTGTTGTTCTTCTGCCCATACTGGGTTGTCAAGTATCTTTTGTAGGGCTGGGTTTCTTCTAACGTATTCTTTGAGTTTTCCTTGTCTAGTGAGACTCTTACTTCTCCATCTGTCTTGATTGATAATTTGGCTGGGTAGAGTATTCTTGGGCTTGCGTTGTTTTCCTTCAATTTTTGGAATATGTTACTCCATTCTCTCCTCTTCATAGTTGCTGCTGATAGGTCTGAGCATATTCTTGTTTGGGAACCTTATTAGTGATTACTTGTTTTTCCCTAGCTGGTCTCATGATTTTCGCCTTGTCTTCAAAGTTGGATAGTTTAACTATTATGTGCCTTGGTGACTTCTTGGGATTCAGTCTAGCTGGTGTTCTTTCAGGCTCCTGAATGGTTGCCTGGTTTTCATTCATTAAGCTGGGGAAATTTTCCTCCAAGAATTGTTTTACTATTGTTGCAGATGACTTTTTTGATGGGTCTTTCTCCCGTAATCCAATAATTCTAATGTTGTCCCGCTTCATAGCATCAGACACAGCTTTTAGGTTTTCTTCAGCTTCTCTGATGATCTTATTAGATTTTTGTTTGTGTTTTTCAAAGTCTGCTTGGTTGTCCTCCAATTCACTGGCGTGGTTCTCTGCTTCCTCCAGTCGATTCTTGCGGTCCGTGTGTTTGCTACTGGTTTTTGTTATCTCCTCTCTAAGCTCTTGTATTTCCTTTTGGTGTATGGACTTTATCTCCTCTATCATTTCATCCTTTTTCTGTATTGTTTCCCTCATATCCTGTATGACTCCTTGCAGGATTCTGAAAATTTCTTTCTGTGGCAGCTCAGTGTCTGCTTCTATGCATGTCTTTATGTTCAGGACATCTGCCATTGCCTTTTGTTTCTCCTGTTTTTTCGTTGAGGCCTTTGGGGCTGATGGCTGTTTGCGTTGCATTGTTTTAGAGGAGCCATGTGCCATTTTCCAGGGAGTTGAAGAGCACTGGCTCTCTCTGGGAGACTAGTAGGAATGTTTCTTCGAACTGCCTACAGCAAATTTCACTATGGAATTAACCTACCACTTTATCCTCCTGTGGCTTCCCTCTCAGGGAAGTGCCCCAGAAGGCTGGTGGGTTGCCTGCTTTGGTGTAGAACACTGCGAATGGTGGGCAGATTTGTCCTGGTCAGGTAGATCACTGCAGAGGTTGGGCAGAGGTTTTTGCAGCAGCTTGGGACATTGACGAGTGTTGGCTGAACTGCTTATGCCTCGTGAGGCACTAAGGTAGGCAGGAGGATGTTCCCTCAGTCATGTGGGACAACAGAGGAAAAATAGGAACTCCCCCAGTCACACAAGCAGGAATCCCCAGTAAGAAGTTGGGCAGAGTATCCCCTGGTGGAGGTCAGCAGGGCTTTCCCCAGCTAGCTGCACAGGGTTGAGTTCACCTAGTTTGGTGGGGTGCAGGCGCACATGCCCTAACTAAGGGGAGTGGATTGCAGGTCAGCAGTGGGGTGTGAGAGAACAGGAAAGAGACAAAGAGGAGGAAAAAAAAATTAAAAGTAAGCCCACCAAGACTGTGGGGGGATAGAGAAGAGAGGAAAACAAAAGTAACAATGTAGCTGAGCCTCGATCCCTGCTTGTGGGGCTGCAAAAGTTTAATCCCTGCCCCGAGGTAGTGGCACACTGTGGCTGTGTTGAGATTAATCCCTCACACCGGCTCGAAATGGCCGCAGCTCCGGCTGACAGTGACAGGGCTAAGATAAAACCCTAGCCTGTCTCCACTGTGGTAAGCCAAAAGCCCTCAGCCCCTCAAAACCTTGTGGATATGTGCCTACTTTATGATTCTCCTACTACGATCCAGCAGTGTTGAATTTCCCTCTAATACCTCTCCTGGGCTGATTTATGAGGAGTCCCTCTGATATGTGTTACTCAGTTGCTATCTTCCCGAAAGTCTTTTAAAATAGAAATTTGACCATGGATTATGAAGTAATGTCTGATTTGCTATTCACTGATAATAAAATATCTTAGTTATAGCAATTAATAGATGTATCAGTGATAATTTTATATTTTAGTTTAATTTTTTTAACCTGCCAATTTATATATAGTATGTGTGTTACTTAACTTGTTTATATAATTAAACAGTAATTCTGTTTGTCTTGCATGTCTTAATTTGGTAACTTAGTTTATGAAATTGTTTTAATTTTTGGACTAAGTATATATCCATTTCTGTGATAATAGTTTATATTAACCTAATTTTTTACATCTTTAAGTGATTGATGATCAGCAAATGTATAATTGAGTATCTTTCTTGTAAAGATGAGTAACAGATTTTAATTCTTTGATATTTTCCAGATTGCAGATTATTACTATGAAGAAAGAACCTATATTCTTCGTTGTGTCTTACACCTTCTTACTTATTTCCAAGATGAAAGGCACCCCTACAGGGTGAGCTCGTTTAGGCTTCTTGCCTCTCTTTGCCTTGTATCTTTAGCTCTTTTAAATTATTCTATATTACTCAAATTCTCCTTAAGTATTTATCTCTCACACTGTATTTTATTCTTTTGATTTTTTTTTTTAAGGTTGAATATGCAGACTGTGTTGATAAATTAGAGAAGGAGCTAGTTTCAAAATACAGACAGCAGTTTGAAGAGCTTTATAAAACTGCAGCACCAACATGGGAGTCACATGGAAACCTCATGGTATGTGATATTGTGTCTTGTAATTCTTAGGACCAGTGAATAGAAAGTCTCGAAATAGACCCAAATATTGATAGGAAATGAATGTATGCTAAAAGTGATATTTCATATCAGTGAGAAAAAGTTGTATTATTCACTCTGTGGTGTTCGAGCTACTGGATAACTATCTAGAGAAATACTAAGCTGTATTTCTTAATATCTTCTCTCAAAATAAAGTTGAGATATATCAATGACCTAAAGGAAAAACAAAGAAAACAAAAGCAACTATTAAAGCACGAAAGGAAAACGGAGCTTTTAGTTATGTTTGGTTTTGATGGGCAAAGGTTTTTTAAGTGTACTTTGGAAATAATTTTTAAATAAAAGACGAAGATAAATATAACAGTGTCAAATTAAAAAAGGCTGTAAGGTAAAGTGAAAAATGTTTTTAAAAAAGTCACAAGGTCAACGTAACAGAACATATATAGTCCCTATAAATTAACAAGTATAAAAATAAACAGCCCCAGAGAAAAATGAGCAAAACAAATGAAGATTTATGAAACCAATCTTTTTGTCCAGTGGGACTCTGATGGTGCTCCATAAATATAAGCAGATACAAATCTTAAAAAATACAATATTATCTAAAATTTTAAAAAGTTTTTGATCAAGTAGTTCCACTTTAGGAATTCATCCTATAAATATTGCTTATTAATGGGAAATGACATATAAATGATAGATCTGTAGTCTCCAATTCCCCTAACTTCACTGAAGTGTATTTTATACCCAAGTTTTACCTAAATGTGCATTTAATGAGTTTCTGCCTTTGAATATCACTATATACAGTCAACATTAGCATGATCAGTATATAAAGCATTTCTCAGTCAGTTTTCCATTGCGCCCCTGTCATCAATGTCTGTCCTCTGTCTCCAGCAACCATGCATCTCCTTTTTGCCACTATGGTTTTACCTATTCTAGACGGTCCTACATTAGAGTAAGGTGACCAGATTTTAATATTGATAAAGCGGGACGCCATTGATAAAACTCATATCCTGGCCAAATAGCCACATGGCAGCCGAAAACTGTATACCCCAGCTTGTCGTGCATTCTTTCCAAAAATCGGGACTTTTAAAACACCATTGGACGCAGGACAAATTGTTAAAAATCGGGACGTCTGGTCACCTTAAATTAGAGCCATATAATATATAGTCATATTTGTCGTCTCACTGAGCACAGTGCTTTGAGATTCATCTGTGTCATAGCTGTAATACTATTTCATTCTTTTTTTTATGGTTGAATAATGCTCCACTGTATAAGTTTACCACAGTTTGTCCATTCACTAATTGATGGACATTGGAGTTTTCATTTCTTTTTGCGGTTTTCAACAATAGACTGAACTTTAACTTACAGGCTTTTCTGTTGACATAAGTTTTCATTTATCTGGGTAGATAACTATTTTCATTCATTTCTGATCTCTACTATTTCTTCCTATTTACCTTGGGTTTAATTTGGTCTGTTTCTGATTTCTTCAGGGAGACACTCAGCTGATCTTAGATCTTTTCTAATTGAAAAACCACAGAGTTTGTTTTAAGCATTGCTCTTAGCTGCATATCAAAATTTTTAAATATTATTTTTATCATCCTATTGAAATATTTTCCTTTTTTCCCTTTTTAATTGTATTTTTCTATCACTTTAAAAAAAATCATTTTATTAGGGGCTCATACAACTCTCATCACAATCCATACATACATCAATTGTGCAAAGCGCATTTGTACATTCATTGCCCTCATCATTTTCAAAACATTTCCTCTCCACTTAAGCTCCCGGCATTAGGTCCTCATTTTTCCCCTCCTCGAAATATTTTCTAACTTCCCTCGTGATTCATTTTTAATTTGTGCATTTTGTAGAAATGTGTAATTTCCAAACATGGGACATTTTCTTTACTAGCTGATTGTTAGTAGGTTTTCATTTGATTCCAGGATGGTCAGAGAACATACTATATATAATTTCAGCTTTTTAAAATTTGCTATCCCCTACTTTGTGGCACAACATATGATCTGTCTCAGTCAATGTGTCATGTACACTTGAAATAATATGTATTTGACAGTAATTGAGTATATTGTTCTGTAATGTGAGGCTTGACAAAATGTTCAGATCCCCTTGGTCATTGGTGATTATTTGTCTTGTTTGTTTAATTGTGCGGCATTAATTTCAATGGTAATTGATCGATAATTGCCTAAATGCCCATCTAAGTGGACTGGTTAAAGTAAATTTGAATATTTCCATACAATGAATTACTATGCAAATTTTAAATAAGGAGGATCTGATTGCCCATACTGTGGAAGATCCCCTGCAGTAAATTACTTTGCAGCTCTATAAAGAAAGTAAAGTAAGAAAATCCCTTCTATATACTACTTTAGGAAATGTTTAAGATGTTAAGTGGAAAAAGTAATTTATTATTAGATTTAGGAATATGTTGATAGTAAGGAAAGAATGACTGCTCTTTAATTTTGATTTTTTGTTGTGTTTTCTTCATTGATCATGCAGACTGAGCGCCAAGTGTCTCGCTGGTTTGTTCAGTGCCTTCGGGAACAATCCATGCTGCTAGAAATTATTTTCCTTTATTATGCTTACTTTGAAATGGTACCAAGTGACCTATTGGTGTTGACTAAGATGTTTAAAGAGCAAGGATTCGGTGGCAGGCAGACCAATAGGCATCTGGTGGATGAGACCATGGATCATTTTGTGGATCGGATTGGGTAAGTCTGGATTAATTGAACATAATAGAACTTGTACAATGTTAGATTAGAACATTGAGACTCCTGCAGTCATGTGACCAAGTGAGAGCAAGATAGCTGTCCGCAGTAACGGGCAGTGAAATAGATGGATCCACCACTTTGTTTCATGTCATGCAATAATCAAAGTCTGGGATTGAGATGGACATGTTCTCTCCCGATAAGTACCATATTCTCCCTCTTCATCTGAAGGGTTCGTCTATTCATTCCACACAAAAATATAGCCAGTATTGTAGGTCACTTGCAGCTGCTGATGACAGTGATTAATGAGCAAGGCATATGTGTTCTTTACCGTCTCTGGCAGGGGGCAAGGGGGGGCGAGGGTTTAAGAGTTTCATATACTCTTTTGTTTATGGCAGTAGATAGATCCATGTTGTGGGGCCCATTTTTTCTGTGAAAATAACCCTGGTGGTGCAGTAGTTGGAGTGCTTGACTGCTAATCAAAAACCTGGTAGTTTGAACCCACCAATTGCTCCATGGGAGAAATATATGGCACTTCTTTCATAGAAATTTCTGCCCTGAGAGCCCACAGGGATCATTCTACTCTGATATGGTGACTTTGAGTTGGAATTCGACTTAATGACCATGGGTTTGGCTTTTAGTTTGGTCGTTCTATGAGCAAAGATACACACCTGAGCAGTGAGATAGTTAATCTAGGCCAGGTATAATTGGTGGCTGTGGAAACCTTTAGTACTAGGTCTGTGCTGTTCGCGTGATGGTAGACTTATACCATGTGGGACTATTGAACACTCGAAAAGTGGCCAGTGTGAGTTGCGCAGAACTGAAATCAGAAAGGTAAAGTGTCTCAGTGATTTTGTTGGTCTTGAAGTGTTGCTTTTTCTCTTCCAGTGAGATTCAGCGCAAGTGCGTATGACACTCTAACACTGTGTTTATTTCCAGCTACTTCAGTGCCCTTATTCTGGTGGAAGGCATGGATATTGAATCCTTGCACAAGTGTGCTCTGGATGACAGGAGAGAACTGCACCAGTTTGCCCAGGATGGGCTTATTTGTCAGGTGAACTTGGAACAGCGTCTCGTGTAATTTAAGGTTCCTTCTTGTTAAATAGTTAGATATCACCGATTTATCAGTCAGTAACATACAGAGGTAATGGTTTAAACTCTGAGAGTGAGTGTAGTCCCTGCTAGAGATGGTGCAAGGGAAAAGGCCCAGGGACAGAGTCCTGGCAGTCATCTGCCTGCATGTGGCCTATGAATGAAGGGGGTGCCATGGAGATGCAATAGGTAGGAAAACAGAAATTGAGGAGAGAGTCATGAACAGTTCAAGAAAAATCAGGGTAAATTTCCAAAGAGTCTTTTATTTGAAGCATGTATTTTATAGTCTTAAATTAGGACTATTTAAAATCAGGAACAAACAAACAAATTTGTGGCTAAAGGGAAAGAGGCTGGTATTTTGAGAAGAGTAAAAGGTCAGAATAGGGGAGAGCACCTCTAGAGATGAACGGAGGACTTCCTGAGCATGATGAAGAATCCTTTGGAAGGGTCTTGACCCTTTCTGTTTAGTAATGCAGTTGATCTCTCTTTCTCATTAGGATATGGACCATTTGGTGTTGACCTTTGGGGACATTTCTCATCATGCCCCTGTACTTTTGTCCTGGGCTCTCCTCCGTCACACCCTGAGCCCAGAAGAGACGAGCACTTTGGTTCGGAAAATAGGGGGCACAGCCATCCAGCTCAATGCATTTCAGTACTTGACCCAGCTCCTCCAGTCACTCGCCAGTGGGGGAAATGATGTGAGTCCTGCACTGTGTGTGTGTGAGTATGGGAGTGGGCGAAGAGCGAGCAGAACTTCGTTCATGAGCTGTGTTAGTAGTAACAGTGATGTCAAAAATATAGTAGCTGTCCTGTATGGAGCATTTTCTGTAAGGAGACACTATGCTGCACACTTTATACACATTGTATTATTTCACTCCTGAACACTTTAAAAAAATGACAAACATTTGTTCCTGATTTAAGGTAGGGTTCCATTCTTACAACAGTTTTTACCAGAAGTTGAATACCTCTGTTTTAAATTTTTCAATATTGTTGCATTTTATTATAAGCTTTATAAATCCAACCTTCGTTTGTCTTTGAGGCTTGGAACAGTTAAATATGAACATCTAAGATTTGATTAGATCGGAAAATTAATATGCTGCCATATTGTATGTATTGCCTCTTACTGAAGATAAGATAAACTAATACAAACAAAAACCAGATTGTTGTACGTGTGGTTCATCATACATTGTAGATTGAGAACTGCCTAGATAACAAAAAATTGCCATTTTAACTGATTTTAAGTGTATGATTCTTTCAGTGATTTGAATTACATTTAGTATGTTGTATAAGAATCATCACTGCTTCCAAGGTTTTAATTACTCAGTATCTCTTAAGTAATTGCTCCCCATTTTCCCCACCCTCACCCCTTATTTGCCACTTTTTTCTCTGTGTATCTGCCCGTCATTTAAGTAAGGCCATACAACACTTGTTCACGCTGCATAATATTTTCAAGGATCATTCATGTTGTAACATGTGTCAGCGTTTTTCTATGCAATACACTTGTTTTACAGATTAGCAAATTGAGACATACTTTACCCCAATGTAACTAGTAAGTGGTGGGTGGACCCTTTAGGTGCTACTCTGACTCATATGCATATTCCTAGAAAATAAATTTGCCCACATTGGGGATTCTTTGGGTGGAAATGACTCAACTCTAACAGGATAAATTTGAAATTCTCTTGAGTCCTGTGTTAGTGCTTACTTTGTGTGGCATAATGGCATACTACTCTGCTTGCTTTAATAGGCTAAAATGAAACTGAACCAAGGTGTCCGTCCCATTTGTCGGCACTGGTTGAATTATCTAATGGCAGTGGAGGTGCTTATGTCAGCACCGAAATTCTACTCTTTCTCTAGACCAAATATAGTACTCTTTTTCTCCACTCCCAGGCTTTGATTTTTTTCCTTTCTTTGTAAAGCTTTAATCATTGTAGGACTGATTTTTATTTTATTCTTGGTTGTGTTGTAATTTTATGGTTCCAGTCTTCCCCTTTTCCCCTTTGCCTTCCTGCTCTGAGAAGTAAATGAGGACAGTTATGAGAATGTGGATTCTCCTCCTGCTTGTTTACTGGAACTATATGAAACCCACTAAGATTAGGCTGAATCTGGGGAAGGGTTGTGTTTCTCAGAATTATTCACAGCCCCCTTTGCCATTACAGTGCACCACCAGCACTGCATGCATGTGCATCTACGGACTCCTCTCCTTCGTCCTGACCTCGCTGGAGCTGCACACGCTGGGCAATCAGCAGGTCAGTGTTTGACTTTCATGTGGTCATACTCAGTGACCAGCTTTACAATCATCTCCCTACCGTGCCCGCACACGGCTGATAATCTGAACCCCACTGAGGTGATAATTTCTTGATTACTGGTTGTTGTTTTTTTAGTCATTCTATTGTGGCTCTTACAGCTCTTACCACAATCCATTGTGTCAAGCACATTTTTACGTATGTTGCCATCATCATTCTCAAAACATTTTCTTTCCACTTGAACCCTTGATATCAGCTCTTCATTTCCTCCTTCCCCCATCCGCCCTCACGAACCCTTGATACTTTATAAATCCCCCCACGGATTACTGTTCATTTTTGTTTATTGTATTGTACAAGTGGTACATGTAGGAAAGTCAGAGAACAATGATCAAAAGAAGAAAGTGCATTCCTTCCACACAGGATAAATTCTGTCACCATTTTGGAAATGATGTTCCCTTCCAAACATTTTCTGCATATATGATAAACGTTTTCTGATGTCACAGTTACTATTTTGTAACCTAATTTTTTTATAACTCTGTAGTATATCTACCGTCTTCTGTGGGTGCTAATAAGTAGTAATCTGTAACCTTTCAAAATATAAAACATTTCAAACTTAAACCAAAGTAGATAAAATTGTATATTTAACCCAGCAGATCCAATCACCAGTTCCCAGCAATTACCAACTCTTGACTAAGCTTATTTCAGTTCCTCTCCCAACCTTATTTTTAAGTAAATCCTAGATGGCATTTAACTTCATTTGTGAATATTTCACCAGGTTTTAACCTGATAGCATTATCACATCTAAAAGATCAGTGTCTTCATATATTAAATTTCCAAAGCAGTTCAGTACTGACTCCGGGCAGGTCCTTGTGTGTCAGAGTAGAACTGTGCTCCATCGGGTTTTCGGAGGCTGAGAATTTCCATAACTAAATCTCTAGGCCGTTCTTCCTCTGGGGTACTTCATCCTCCAACATTTTGGTTAGCAGCCAGGAAATTGATGACTTACACTACCCAGGTGCCTAGTTGTCTCAGAAATATCATAAATTTATCATAAGTGTATTTGAATTAGGATCCAAATGAGGTCCATTAATTGGTTGATAAATATTTCAAGTTACTTTGTCTAGAACTGTGGTAGCCACATGTGCTTAAATTTAAATTAACGAACAAATAAATAAATAGAAATTTTAATTAACTAAATTTTTAATAAAAACTTTACCTCCTAGATACATTACACATATCAAGTACTTTAATAGCTATTGTAGATAGCACAAATATGGAATATTTCTATCATCACAGAAAGTGTTATTGAATAGTGCATGCTTATCTCAAGCCGAAAGAACTAAAGGAAAAATTCAAACTTTGAGCAGCAATATTAAAAGATTTTGTGGGCAAAATATTGGATGATACAGGAAGCATCAAAAGAAGATAGAAGGAATACACAAGAGTCACTACCATTTCAGAGGTAGCATATGATAAGAACTGGTGATAAGGAAGGAAAAAGTCCAACATTAATGGAATAACAACTGAAATGTTTCATCAAATTCATAGTACTGAAAAGCACTCACTCTTCTGCCCAGAAATTTAGAAGACGGATACCTGGCCAACTGACTGGAAGAGATCTCTGTTTTTGCTCATTGAAAAGATAGATGACTATACAGAATGCAGAAATTGCTGAACAATGACATTCATACCACAAGCAAGGCGGGAAGGTGAGGGAGCATTAGAACTGAATATGATTATATAACTCAATTTAAGGGTGATTTAATCATGGGAGGGTGAAAATGTTCTAAAATTGATTGTGGTAATGACCGTATAATTCTTTTTGATGATCAAATGGTTGAATTGTATGATATGTGGATCGATTATGTGCCAACAAAATTGTATTAAAAAAAAATCAAAACCTTCACAACTGAACCGGTAGGTAACATGATAAGTGGAGAAAAGGTTGAAGTTGTCAAGGATTTCATTTTTTACTTAGATCTACAATCAATGCTCATGAAAGCAGCAGTCAAGAAAAAAGACATTGCATTTGGCAAGTTGCATAAGACCTCTTTAAAATGTAAAAGAGCTAAGACGTTAATTTGAGGACTAAGGTGCATCTAATCCCAAGCTATGGTATTTTCATGTACTTCATATGCATATAATAGTTGGACGATGAATAAGGAAGACAAGAGAACTCATGATTTATGGTACTGGCAAAGAATATTGACAGAATCATGAACTGCCAGAAGAAAACCGAATCTATCCTGAAGGAAGTCCAGTCAGAATACTCCTTGAGGATTTATCACACGTGAGAAGACTTAAGACTTTGTGGAGAAATTCC